ATCCCTCGTGGGTAACTCTCGTCGCCATGGCGAACCTTCATGTGGAATTCTGAATTTACAGAATTGCCCTTTGCTTGCTTCTTTGCTTGAATCTTCTATCTTCATCACTCTTCTCATGGAAACAAGTTCATAGTGCATCCACTCTGCTTCATAACTTTCCCAACTTCTGAGATCTACTTACTTCTAAATCCAAAAACTCCAATTCGCTTATTTGCATTAAATGTCCATTTTAGCTGAAACACAAAATATAAAGAATTAAGTAGCAATTCAGGTCAAAGTGAACTAAAAAGTATCTGAAATCCGACTAAAAAGTCTAATAAAAACAGTATGATCCACAGATTATCAATGGTAACCCTAGTGTTTATGGAACAAAACCTCTAACAAATGGTGGCACATGTGATCATTAGACTTGAGATCACCGGAGCGCCTTGTGCACCGATTTGTGCAGTTTGACACTAGCTCAACGTAGTTCTATTTAGAGCTGTCAATATGGTAGTGATTGGCTGCATCAAGGAGTGTATCAAGACTATGGTGGATCGACAGAGGATTCATCACTCCTCGGTACGGGATAAGTTATCTCACGGTGCAATTCAGTAAATGGCAATGACACTAAAACTGTGGCCATAGTGGGATTGAGTTATTACTTTATCCAAATCATTATTCTGGTCATTGGTCCAGTAACTGAATGCATACATATCGAGAGTAACTGAGGTTGACACTATTTCTATGCCTTGGTCTCGTTGAGATAATAGATGATGAAAGGATTGGATTGTACGGTAAACATATCATTGACAAGTAGCTGTTTTGCTGAATCTGAATCTATCGGGTGGCCATGATGCCTTGCTAGGGGTCAATCTTGGTTTGTATATAGTGAGACGATTAAATAGTGTTAATCATGATACTACACACTACCGGTATGATAAAGAGCCTATGGGTCATACACATAGAAGATAATTTAAGAACCAGTTTATAAGAAGGGTGTTTTCATCTTTTTAGGCAAAATGGTATTTTGGTAATCTCACAGTGCAGTTAAATTTGCTGAGGTCGTAGCCTTTATTTAATTTGATATTAAAATTAAATGAGTGAGATTATATTTAAATATGTGTCTTCATATATTTAAATGAATTATTGTTATTGTTAAATGTTATATATATTAACATTTATATTAATTGAATTGAATTGAAATAATAATAATAATAATTAAAATATCTAAATGGGGCTATTTGGACATAGGGGGTTGTTTGGGTTGGTGCCTAAGCCTATTCCATGAGGGAATAGGGCATTGTGTGCACTGTATAAGTGCAGAATTTTTGTGAAATGATATAACATTTCATTCAATCATTAAGATTAAAAAAATTCCAGCCCCCTTTTCTCTCTTCCCACGACAAATTGCTTTTTGTGTTGAAACAAAATATTGTTAATTTTGTTCTTGGTTCTTAAGGCTAAAGAGGATCTAGTAAATCCCTTTTAGTTCTGTGGGGTTATCTTTATGTGGACTACCGCTGGTTCGATCCTACCCTTGAATCGATAGCGAAACCTGTTCAGAGACAAGTTGGAGGAGCCTTCAAACGTGCGTATGATTTCTTAACTGTAAACTGATTTTTCTGCAGATTCTAATATAATGTATAAACTGTAAATTTGTGCCCTGATCTTGGTTCTAAGGAACGATCCATGTTGTAAATAATTTTTGTTTTCCGCTGCCATGACTTGATCGTTTCGTAACAGTGGTATCAAAGCCTAGGGTACCAGATTTTACAGTTTTATGTATGGCTGATTACATGTATTTGATTAATAACATGTTGCCTTGATGAATCTGTACAAAATCTGCCTTGAAAGCATGTTTTAAGAAATCAATTTAATTGATTAATTTAATTTGTTGATGATCTGCAAGTTTGGTATATTGGGTTATGGATTTTTGTTGAAATCAAAAGTTTAGATTGATTACAAAATCCGTTTGGCATATTTTTGGTGGCTGGTTGGACTGATCTGATGCTACAGATTAGTGCATGCTTGCCACGGCGATATAACCTATCACCACGGTGTGCGTTGTTTGGTGTACTCGCTGATTGGAAAATCAGCGCTAACCGCAGCGATATAACCCATCGCCACGGCGATCGTCCTTAGCGCGATCTTTGATTGAATATTAGTGCTCACTGCGGCGATCACACGTGGTGCATGTACACGATGCAAATCAACGCACGCTGTGGCGATCTAATCCATCACTGCAACAAGCGCACTTTCGAGTGCGTATGGGCAAAAGTGAAAAGTTTAAAAAATTTTAGACCAAATGTAGATCTATAAATTGTCAGGGGGTAATTAATAATTCACCCACCTAATTCAAAAATTGATTGTTTCTAAAATGTATGCCATGTACTTGTTTGTATATTGCATGGTGCCCGATGCATGAGTCTTAGACCTATGGTGAATGTTTTAAAAAAAAAATTGGGTATGTATGGTTGTAATTTATTAAATAGGGCCTACGTGTCCTGCCTTTCTCCCCTTCTCGATGTACATTCTTTTCTCATCTCATTCCCCTCGAATGTTAATCGAGGTTTCTAAATTTGTTGATGTAAAGAATTTTGTATAATTATTCTCATTGTAAATTTAGAATGATGTTTTTGTAATGTACTTGAAGACTGATCAAGGAAGAGACAATCATACTTGAAGACTCAAGATTGTATTGTAGGACCCCTAGGTGACCTACCGATTCCTCTAGGCTCGAGGAAATCAGTTTTAGCTGGGCCATGTATCGACACGTTTTAATATTTTGTTTAGAATGTATGCTAAGATTGAATGTTAAATAACGTGTCAAAACAATGTCATTCTAATAAAGATAATAATCTTGTGAGACATTAAACAGTAACCCCTCAATTAAAGTATATTAAGTCACATATGCCTTCCATCACCATGGTTTTAATCAAACCACCGTTCGTCGGAACCTTATTCGCCAAAGCGAAGGGTACACTTCTACCAGTGGGAGGTTAAAATTCATTGGAGTTTTCATTAATGGTGATGGGCCAACTTAAAATGACGGTTTTGCTTGTTCACCAAAGCGAAAGTTGATAAATGTGTCATAGGCATAGTAGAGAAGTACACATATTGTGTGTACGTGGTGACATGTAGTGTCCACTCTACTGATACTGACAATCACACTTGAGGACGATGGTTGGGGCTATTGGATTGTGTGATTGGCTTGTTAGCTTCTTCACATTTGAGGTTGACAGTAGGAGCTATCAACTAGTGTGGATTAAGTTTGTTGGTCTACCTAATCAACCCATTTTGGCTTGTTCGCCAAAGCGAAGATTTGAAATGGGCCAGATGGGATCTCAGTCCACTAGGAAAGTCAATGGGCTTTCCCGAGTTAATAGTGAGGGCTATTGACTTGAGGAAAATAGTGGGAGCATCGTTTAATAAAAGACCATATTAAATAATCATGAACTTTATAATGACTTTATCTTTTCTGTAGTTGTAGATTCACCAAAATGAACATTATGAACTTGCGACCAATAATCGAGAAAGAAAATACGTTGGATGGATCCAATTTCTCAGACTGGTATCGTAATCTTCAGATTATACCACTACAAGAAAAAGTACTTTTTGCAACCAATTTTTTTGCAGCTAGGCAAAAATAGTTGTAGATACCCCACATTTAGTAACTAAATTCCAATTATATATACTACTAGTAACCAAAATCAATTTTATTGTTTGATTCTACTTTTGCCGTCTACATTACCATTTCTTTGATTCTACTTTTGCCGCTTACATTACCTCATTGAAGGTAACTTTTTATTTTTTTATTTTTATGTCAAAGCTCATTCTTTTACAGATGGTATTTCAATTTTATTGTTTGATTTTCAATCCGTTTCTTCACAACATTTGCTTTAATTTGTTTAAGCATCTGTTGTTAGTGACGTTCCTAAATGGGTGGCTTTAACTTCGTAATGGATGATTTTATTTTTGTCTTCTCTTTCATCTGACATTACAATGGCTATTATAATTGTAATGAGCGCTTTAAATTCATTTATTGTTACTAATAAATGAATGGCGTTTGATTTTTTTTTTTTTTTTTGTCTTCTCTTTCATCTGATATTACCATTTTTTCCCTAAAACTTTTGCTTAACCGCTATTTCACTTATTTGTACAAACCCTCATAGTTGACCTCCTTCTGGCACTGGAACAACAGTTCTAGTTTCTACCACTCTCATTCAGTAGATAACGACTTGCTTACTGACTCTAGCGCTTACTCCGTATCTATTTCGACAGAAATTGTTAACTTCGGTGAGTTTTGGCGAGGCGTATCCCGAACACCCAGATGTAGTGGTGTTTAGAAAAATGTAAAAACTGAACCTAACTGGGAACTGAACTAGTTTTTCGTTTACTTGGGAAACCGTTCGACTGTGGTCCACAAAAATTCAAAAAACTGAATTTCCAATTTAAAAAAATAATAATTAAAAAGTAAACAATTTTTCCTTAAAATTTAAAAAGTAAACAAATTGAAAAGTCCCTAAATCCTTATAATTAAAGAAAAACAAAACCCCAAACCCGGTTTTAGGGTAACATAAAAAAAAAAAAAAAAAAGTAAGCAATTTTACACAGAAATTTTTGAAACTTAAAATTAAAAAAAATTAAAAAGATAGAAACCCACTTATACAAAATCCGCAAACTAATTTTACCCTAAAACGCAAAACACCCTCCACTTCGCCACTCCGTTCGCATCTTTTCTCCATTTTTCCACACCACATATAAAACATTACAAAATCCTATTGCTTTACTTCTGAACCCAGAAAAAGAAGGCAGATAGTTTTTAGAGATTAAAATTAGGTGATGAATCTTCTGAACCCACATATAATGTTGTTGATGAAATTCCGTTTCTATTAAAACCAACAAAGGCTGATTTATTCAAGAAGAAAGATCCAAAAAGTGCTTCTTTGCTTCTGAAACCAAAATGAAGACCAGGAATTTGGTGTTGCTGATGTTATGTGTTACGGTTATAGCTCCTATTTATACCGATAGATTCTCTGCCTCTTTCAAAGCTTCTTCTTGTATGTTCTCTTCTTCTTCGTCAATTAATTTATTTTCCTATCTCAATTTCATACCTTGTTTCTTCTTCCTCAATTAACATTTTTCTGGGTTTGTTTCGTTTTTGCAGCTAGAAACCAATTTCTTGTAGATCTTTCAGCTTTTGTAAGTTTTTTCAACTTTCCTTTTTCACCCCTTGTCTTTCAAACAAGATAAGATATTAAAGTTTCAATCTTTCTTCGTTTTTTCTCTTCAGACTGTCAGTGGTGATGCCAGCCATCTAAATCTTCTTCCCTAAGTGCTTGTATGTTCATGGATTTTTTGTTTAAATAGTTTCTTACTCATAAAGTTCAGATCTTTATATATTATCCCTTTAAAATCTCATTTTTTTCTTCCTTGTTGCATATAGGAATCTTCCACAACCCGTAAAGTACCAATTGGAATAGTTTATTCAGGTTGGCTTTTTCATTCTTTCTCATTGTTTGTGTGGTGAATTCAAGAAATTTTGTTGGGAAGTTGTCAGTACTTGTATCTTATGGGTTAAATTCGCTGAATGAGCAGAATCAAGATAGCATAAATTAGCTAGAGTTTTGTCTACAACAAATGATGTTGATCGGTCTCAAACGGATAATATCATCAAACAGGTCACTGATCTGAATCAGAGTGAAAATGAAATCAAGAAAAGTTATGGGGATGCTGAGGACAAGATTAAGGCATCTGAGCAGCAGAATTCTGATAATGACTCTCAAAATATGGTAATTTTCATTATTTTTTTTTTTTATTCCAACTTTATAATCAGAGCACTCATGTATATACATTAAAGTCTTGGATGGTTACTTGTAGGTTTGAATGTGAAAGGATTAGTTAGCTTGCAGGTAGTTTAGTAGTCATTTTGACGCTTTTTCTTTATTTTATTCTAATTTAAAATTTACCATAGTATTACTAAGGTAGTTCAGATAATACTTGAATGTTACGCATCATACATTGCTGGGAGTCTGACAACATTAATTATTTGTCTTAAACATTTTAATTTGTTCTTCTGATGGTGGAAAGGAATGGTTATGCTTGATTGATCTCTTTATTCTTGTATATAAATATTATATATGGCTCACTGCTATATCTTTTTGGTTGTATTGAAGATTTTGGCTGTATGGTGAACCTTTTTAGATTAGATTAATCAAAATTGCAATCTTGCTTTTCTCTTTTTTTGTTTGTAGTGGAGTTCTGTCATCTGTTCCCTGTTTCTTTTTCATTGGGAAGCCTGAGCGGTTGTCTGTATACTGGAAACATGATGAATGCTGTTATAAACTTTCCATTTCTTTTTCTTATTCCTTGCTGCTTCTCTAACACACACACTGATGTGCTCCCAAAGTCTAGTGTTTGCAGACCCTATGTACACATGATATTGAACCAAAATGGTTAGCGTGGACTTTTTCTCAATATTGAGTCAGCCTGTGCTTATTGCAGAGTAGTTATGCTCACTTGGTGACAAATGAAATTCATTGATAACATTTGGTTTTTCCATGAAGTTTCAACTTTAATGGATTGATTGCTTCATATTACGATGATAATGTCCGATCCAAATGTGTCATTGCACTTGCATGTATATTTTCATTAATGATAAAATATTCAATCTACTTGCCTTTCTTCTTTTCCTTGGCTGTCCCCCTGGCCCTTCACCGCCAAGTATGGTTATCTCTACCCTTAAACTAACTGTATGATCTTGTTAATGATGGGAAGTAATGTAGATTTGCTAAGAACTTTGGTTTGCACTAATATTGCTGGAAATCATAAGAATAAAGAATGAACACCCGGATGATAGCCAATGTATTGTCAATGATAGAGTGAAAGGTTGTCTTAAGGTCACCAGAGCATTTGGAGCTGGATTTCTGAAAAAGGTTTGTCGTATATCCTTTGTAATAACTATTTTGCTGCAAGGATTTCTGATAAAAAGTAATTCTGGTTGATGATTATTACTGTTTGGTGATTTGTACATCATGGTAGCATATATCTTCGTTATAGGTGCTCATTGCTTGCTATGTTCTAGTAAATTATATCTTCATGAATAATATTCATCACTACGGTATATGGATAAGACACATTGACTTTTATAGATAATGTAGTGTATAAATTAAAATGTTGTTATTTTTGGATATCTTTTAAAAGTGTTGTGATAGAGGAAATGCTGTATATAGCATTGGAAATGATTCAAGTTGCAGGTCACCTTTATCAGTGCATAAAAATATCATTTCTGTTGTATGCTGTGTCATGTGAGCCAACCGAATATCATTAATAAACTTATAATTTTAATGTTTCAATATATGTGTCCTTGCTCTAACAAACCACAAGAATATCATTACTAATTTTGCTAATGCTTCACTCATTTATGCATTCTTGCTCTTACAATACCACACTTCAGCATTACACTTATGTTTCATTTTTTCAATTGATGAAGTTCCCAGTGTATTGTTTTATCCAATGGTGTGCTTTAAAAACTTGCTTGATGATATCATGGCATATTGGTGCTGCCCAAGTTGAACGATTCATTATTGGAAATGTTTTGAAATGAGTATATTGGAACTGCTCCATACATATCCTGCAGGCCTTCTCTACATCACCATAGACTCTGCCTAAGAGATTAATTTTTGATCCTCTCATCCGATGGCTTATATCAGTATCTGACCAATCAGGAAGTGGTTTCAAATGTTGAGAGTTTCATGGAGAAGTTTCCAGTTGGTGATCCTGCACATCACCTAATAGAGGAGCTGCTCTTCCATGCAGCTGACAAAGCTGGTAAAATGTTATTTCTTCTCTGCTTATTTCTTTAAATGCTAATAATCATCAAGTTGTACAAAATGTGGACAAGTAATTTTGAGATTTAACCTCTGAAAGTAAGGGTGTTTCTTCCACAGTAAATAGTATCAAAGCTTTTACCATGTCAATATTAAGCCATTTGTCAACTATTTCTCAATGTAAACGTTCTGACATAATTTTTAGTCGTTTTCTTCTGCATTACAATAGGTAATTTCTTAAGTTATCTCCTTAATATTATTAACGTGATGGCTCTAACAAGATTGGTTTCTAGCAATTTATTCATGGTTATCTGACTTATTGATTATGCATTGACTTATTAATTATAATTTATATGTAATTATTTAGTTTCTTGCTTGACTTATTGATTATGCATTGAATTGATGATAGGAAAAAATGATAGAGCTGTAAGATGAAACATAGGCAGGGGAAAGTGAAAAAACAGAAGCAGAAATATGAGGAAGTTCTGGGTAAAGCTTCTGGATTTAATCAAAATTTTGCATTTTCACACATTGAGCATCATGATACTGTAGCAGAAGCAGAGTTAAGTTGCATAGTGCAACAACAAGAAAATAAGATTAAACAGTTGGAGGAGTAGCTCGTCTTAGTTGATCAACAAAAACAGAAAATAAAAAGCGTTGAACAACAACAATTTGTCCTGTTGGAGATGATGAAGCAGCTAACTATAGCCCTTGAACTACAACAATCTGATAAAGCTCTAACTCGACAGCCATCGCCATATCCAACTGTTGAATACTCGTCCTCATGAGCTACAGCTATTTCAAAGACCCCAACTAGTGACACTTGACATGATGTAGATATTGATGGTTAGTTTTTTTATTGTATGGGCAGTATATATTTTGGCATGGGGGTAGGACCATCTTTTTAGGATTGTTTGCATATATATGTTAGATGGTGTACATGGGATGGGCATTTTTTTGTTAGTTATGCACAGATAGATAGCTAGTGAAGAAAATGTGGGTGCATACGGCTCCGTTTGGTTCCCTTTTGAGAATACTACTATTAATATTCCCAATAAATTTAAACAATAAAATTGCAAAAACTTACAAAATTATTCAAAAATTTTTGAACTCCCTAAATTTGTTAATTTAATTAAATACCCCTAAATTTTTTTTTAGAAATTGCAAAAAAAAACCCCAGCAACCCATATTTATCAGATTTCGGCCGCCACCGTCGGAAAATAGTTGGAATCTAGTATAATGGCGCACTATTAGCTGAATCTGGCCGGTAGTGCGTCGATCTAGCCTTTTTTGGCTAGATCCACAATGGATTTGGTCGGAAAAGGCCAGATCTAAGTTCAAAGATCTAGCGGCCAGATCTTTGGTCGTAGCCAATCATCAACGATGGCCAACACATCGTCGTCGTTGACTATCAACGACGGTCATATCTTTGGTCGTCGTTGACGAGAAAATACGGCCATATCTGGTCGTCAATGGCTAGATCTAGTCGTTGATCTTGCCAGAAAAGGCCATATAGGCACACGATCGACAAGATCCAGTCGGTCATGTGCCGATACAACGACTCTAGCCACCCTCTGGCGGTGGTGGTCGACTGTCCATATTTAATGGGTGGGTTGGGGGTGTTTTTGTTAACTTTTAATATTTTATTATAGGGGTGTTTAGTAAATAAACAAACATAAGGGGTATTTTTATTTATTTTCAAATCCTATATTGTAATACTTATTCAATTTAACTTTTTTTAACTTTTTTTCCAAAAACTTTTCTAAAAAGTGTAAAAAAGTGAACTAAATGGAGCCTTTTTGGTTATGCACACATGATAGTGTATTTTGGATTTTTTTTTGCTCTTAATGCGTGAAAATCCATGTATGGACTATATATATGTATAAAAAAATGATATTTGATGTTAGTGTTCAGATTTTTATATTGTGATGAATTATTTTGTTGATGTTGAATGTATAAACTAGGTTAATACAAAATGTTTTTGCCACTAAAAAAACACATTCTGCAACTAATTTTTTAGTTGCAAACAGTAATTTATCATAATTGGATTCTACATTCAGTGTTTAAAATTATAAGAATTAACCACCAAATTTTGGTCACCAAAAGATACATTTGTTCACTAATAAAATAGTCATGAAAACATTTTGGATTCTACATTCAGCGTCTAAATTTATTAGAATTAATTACCAAATTTTGGTCACCAAAAGATACATTTGACCACTAATAAAATAGTTGCGAAAACCTTTTGGATTCCACATTCAGCGTCTAAAAGTATTAGAATTAACCACTAAATTTTGGTCACCAAAAGATATATTTGTCTATTAATAAAATAGTTGTGAAAACGTTTTACGAAATTACCCTTACACCTTCAGCTTCTAATTTTTGTGGCATTCATGACAAATTATTAGACACTAAAAGGTAGGGGTGTTCGGTTCCGGGTATCTTACACTTTTTGAAGGAACCGGAACCGACGATTCCTTGAAATTTGGAACCAGAATCAGAACTGACGGTTCCGGTTCCTAGGTATCCAAAACCAGAACCAGAACCTATAACAACGGTTTCAGTTCCAGTTCCGGGTCTGGGTACCCTGTAAAATTCATGACCCCCCAAAAGTTTTTTAAACGGCAAAAAAACCCTTAAAAACTTACAAATACCCCCCACCTGACACTTGTTAACAAAAATAAAATTACAAATTATAAATTCAAAATTAAAAACTCCATTACTTTGTAAATGTAGATTCTCAAAAGTCAAACCAACTTACTTTAAATGTCATGAAATATAAATATAAATGTATTCACTTTACTTTTTCTACAAAAGTTTTTATTAACCTCCCTAATCTTTAATTTTATTTTATATTAGTCTTGGTTCCTGGTTCTTGGTTCCTAACTATAGGAACCGGAACCGGAACCGCACAATAGCGGTTCCAAAAATTTGGAGTCGGAACCTACCCATTGACGACTGGTTCTGGGTAGGAACCGAAACCAAACCCAAGGTACCCGCCGGTTCCGGTTCCAACTGGTTCTTTTGAACACCCCTACTAAAAGGTACATTTTGCAACTAATTGATTAGTCGCGATACCATTTTACCAAATTACCCTTGAACAATTAGCGTCTAAGTGGGGGGAATATTTTAACCAGCAATTAGAGACTAATTTGCTAGTTGCTAAAAAAAAACTTTCCGTGACTAACCAAAAATTTAGACGCCCATACTTTCTGTGACAGCGATTTTGCAACTACGTGGCGACTACGAAATTTAGATGCGAAAGAGATTTAGCGTCTAAATTTTACTTTCTGCGTCTAATTTTGCTAGACGTCGAAAGACATTTTTCTTGTAGTGTACTCAAGTTGGAAAAGAATTTGTATATCCTTGAAAAGCCATACATGGCTGAGCCTGATCCTGATGCGACTCAGGAAGTAAAAGACACTTATCAAAAGTTCATTGATGATGCTAATGGCGTTCAATGCTTGATGTTAGCATCGATGACACCAGTGCTGCAAAAGTAGCATGAGAATATGGACGTTGCTGCCATTATTCTACACCTTAAGGAGCTTTTCAAAGGAAATGCTCGACATGAGAGGTACAAGGTGTCAAAAGCTTTGTTTGGAAGTCGTTTGACTTAGGGAGCCCAAGTTGGTCCTCATGTGCTCAAAATGATCGAGCACATAGAGAGGCTTGAGACTTTAGGATTTGAGTTGGATGCAGAATTACAAATGGATTTGATTCTACAATCCTTGCCTGACTCTTATGCACCATTCATAATGAACTTCAATATGAACATAATGTGAAAACCTTGTTAGAGCTTTTGAACATGCTGAGGATTGCAGAGTAGGACTTGAAGAAGTCCAAGCCTGTTTTACTGGTTGCTACCAGTAAAGGAAAGAGTAACGACAAGGGTAAGGCAAAGGCCAAACCCAAGCCCAAGCCCAAAGGACAGGGTGCTCTTGGGCCTAAGAGTGGCATAGGGAAGGGCGAGAAAGTAGTCTGCTTCTATTGTGGCAAGCCTGACCACTAAAGGAAACACTGCAAGGCTTTCCCTACAAGCAAGAAAAAGTTAGATGCTTTGACTTCAGGTATATTTATGATTGAGATTAACTTCTCTCCCTTAACATCTTGGGTCATTGACACAAGATGTGATATGTAATACTCTCTCTCTAGCTAGTATACTCGGAAAATAACAGTAAAACTCACAAAATATATATAAGAAAATTTACATATAGATGAGTATAAAATAATGGGCCCATAACTAAACTTTCTTTAAATACAAATCTTTATAAAATATAATAAAGTCACAAAACATCAACTCAATAGTGTTGCCCAACCCTTTCGCTGTGTGATGTTCCAAGCGACCGCATCTCACCTATTACCTGCAAAAATATTGAAAACAATGAGGTGAGCACTAATTGCTCATTAAGTAAACCTGTTGTGCCACTCTTCCTTTTCGTTGCTTAAATTCTGAATTTCTTTCCTTACATCACACCTCTTTATTCTTCTCTATTCTTTCTTTGTTCTTTCTCTATTATTTCTCTATACTTTCTCTGTTCTTTCTCTATTCTTTCTCTATTCTTTCTCTATTTCTAATTTCTCACTACCCATGATAATATTTCTTTGTACTTTCTCTGTTCTTTCCCTATTCTTTCTCTATTTCTAATTTCTCACTACCCATGATAATAGGCATGGTATCATGCATAGGTATGATGCAAATGCACAAATGCATAGAATGTGCATTTTCTTTTCTGTTTTTCTATTCTATTTTCTGTTTCTTTTATCTGTATTTCTTTATTTATTTCTTTTCTAGTCTTTCTTTCTTTCTTTTTCTATTGTTTTTTTTTTTTTTATTGTTTCTTTTCTCTTCTTTTCTTTCTTATTCTCTTCTTTTGTTTCTTATTCTCTTTTTTCTATTCTTTTGTTTCTTATTCTTTTCTTCTTTTCTTTTCTTTTCTTTTTTATTCTTTGCCGATTGGACTCGATTAAGGCATGGATTCGAAACCTTAACTGTGTGAGTGAGTACAGTCCTCATCTACATGCACTCTTACGGACTGTACAAATTCTTCTTCCTCTTAGGTTACTCACTAAAGGCGGCGTGCATGTAAGATATTCTTCTGGGTACAGTCCTCATCCATATGTACTCTTACGGACTGTACAAATTCTTCTTCTTCTTAGGTCGCTCACTAAAGGCGGTGTACATGTGGGAATATTCTTCTTCTTGTCACTCATGGGTTCCCCATCGCAACAACCTTCTTTTCTTTTATCTTTCTTATGGAAATTAGTATTCAATTTCTTTTCTTTAATAGTTCTCATTTCTTTCTATTTGTTCATTAACTTTAATGTTCATTATTGCTCTTTAATGCTCTTATGAGTATGTATGCATGTATATGGGCTCATGCTTATTATTCTTCCTAAATTCACATGTTTGAATGCAATAATGCAATATGGAATGTGAACATGTCATTCTCTACTATCTACCAACTCATCTCAAGATATCAAATAATCATAATCATGTATGCACTTTTCTTTGACATTTCATCAAACAATTTATATGCACACATTAACTCTAATTTGGCTACATTTCTACCTCTCTTCTAAGCCACCAAAATTTGGAATAAAACACACCAAGATTAACATCAAACCTGTCCAGGATTCACACTCCATAAATTCTACTCCAATTCTTCCATATTCATGCAAACTCTCATCAAATATCAAGTACACAAACACTACTTCTCATGGATAAATTCTAACCATCATTCAATATCCATTCCATCAACAATTCTTCATATATAAGCATATACATGCATAAAAGAAATTCTCTACAATTCATCCAAACTCCCTTTCTCTTTATTCTTTAATGTTCTCATATATGTGTATGTGCATAGAAATATGCTCATTCTTTGCTATTATTTCTAA